TATATATATATATATATTTGTACTATAATTTTACATATCTTGTGTCAAGTTTGAAATTTCAGTAAATTCAATTTTATTTTCACAAAATAAAAAATATTATTGTCTCTTAAAAAAAGCTTAAATTAATTTTGAATTTTCTTCTTTGTAATAGTCCATAAGTTTTTTATAATTTTTTTACTTATTAAATCATGAAAATATCATAACTTAAAATAATTTAATTTCAATTATTATATATTAAGTACATTTTTCTATTAAGTAGATAATTATCTAGTATGAAGATAATTATTAAATATTAATCAAAAAATAATTTAAGAAAAATTTCATAAAGACAAAGATAATGAATTAAATAAGTCAAACTTAAACACAAGTTTAATATTTTTTTAGATAAAACAAACACAAACTCAAATTTTCAATTAGGTTCAATTAAATAAATAAGTCAAATTTTAGTAATCAATTTTTCTAATAAGTCAAACTCAAATTTTAAGAGTTTCCACTATACTCAACCCATTTACACTTCTAAATATAAGTATCATTATTATTATAATAATTAATTGTAGTTGGCCTCTTTGTTTCAAGTTCACATGAGATGAATTATTCCTACAGAAAATGAATAAAGATTTAGAGGCTAAATGCAATAGCTTTGACCAAACATTGCATTCCTTCCTCCTCCCATATCTACACAACAAAGCCCCTCTATTATCACTGACAATATGAAACCTCTCCACCAAATCTTGTTGCTGAGGACTTTCAATCAAGACTTAACCTTGTTTTTCTATCGTTATCATTTATATGGTTGAGAGTTTATAGGTTGGTTGTTGTAGTGGTGAGGTAGAGGGAGAGAAGGTCATTCCTATTTGACAATGGTTAGATGAGGAGGTACAAAAGTTATAGAATTCCTAGAAATGGTGATTAATTGTGATGCCTAATGACCAATGAACCACCTTTATTGGTGATCCAACTTAAATTTCGTTAAGAATCTGGTCCTAACTATTTGATAAATAATCAATGAGATAACTTGTTTAGATTTTTTCCATCTCATGGCATTTGAGATTTTTTTTTTTTGTTTTTAACTTCAACAAAAATGCCTCAGCTTTTATATAATTCAGGGTTTCAAGCATAAACATATACTAATTTTAGGGTCTCAGACAATAAATCAATTTCACAAGTACTTTTGAAGTTCAAATTGAATTTTAAGTGCCCAAAAAATTGTTATTATCTAATTAAAACGATAACATCTTACGTTTAATTTATTAATTTTTGCTCTTTAAATTAGTAAATTATTACGACAAAAACACATGACTTGATCATTAGACATTTCAACTGTAGTTATTTACACTAGATTACACACTCAATTGGTTTTTTTTCAGAAGAAATATATTATTAAGCTAAACTTTAAAAAATATTTTTGACACATTCAAGTCATAGTTTATTAATTAAAATCTCGTAAAAAATCAAATTACATCGAAAATTAGGCCTAATATACTCCCTTTATTTCAGAAATAGGTTGGTATAATACCACCTTTAAATTGTTTTTTACCAAAAACAAACTATAACTTCATAGCATATCTCTTTTAAAAAGTCTTCCATGCGCATTGTATTTTAAAATAAAATTAAGATAAAAACATTTAATCACAAGATAGCAAAATGGTTACCAAAAGTGAATGTTAACTACATAAAAGTAAAATAAAACTGAATTATATAGGAGAATATATCCACATAAAAGTGGACATGAAATGCTGTTACCAATAGTAGTATCCTTTATTAATAGTAAGATAATTAAAAATTGTTAATTTTTTACAACAATTAAAAAAATGTTAATAAAACTAAATAATATCTGAACAAAATTATTTTTACATCTTCCCACCAAAAAAAATCTTTACATCCTTCATAGCTTCTAGTATACGTACAATCTAAACAAGGGAATTCATTTCAAATAAAATGAGATTGACAATATGAATTTTTATTTACATGAAATGAAATATTTACTTTACATGCTCATGTTTGTACATATATTTCCCTTTTTCTCATTTATGCTCCCACCTTTCCACCAACAAGAAGGGGAAAAAATGAGTAAAATTCATTGAGAGGATTGGACAGAAGTTGGAAAGAGTCATGAACAGGTTTCAACATACTAAATCTTCAATGAAATGGATTATTACTTTCAAATACCAGCAGGGATTAGATCCTTATCAACATCAATCATCTGATCATCTTCCAGTTCCATCCAATGTAAAATAGGACCCTGAACATCATATTTGTTTAGTAACAAAGTCTAATTGATTTGAGGTTATTATAATGAGCATCAAATATAAACGATATACTATGTGCTATATATACTTTGAAGTGTATACATAACTGGCAAAATTGTGATGACATTAACAAGTTTCCATAAAACGCTAATTGAGGAAACAAAACTGCAAAGTATTCAATGAAAATGGAGAACATTTTATCATATTTTTTTGACACCAACATTTTATCATATTAAAAACACAAAAAATGTATTTTAATATATCTTAGCTAGTGGTTTTAGGATCCTCAGACACTTATTATTGCATTGCACCACAGTAAAAGAGTGGCATCACATTCTTCAGATGTTCATAATGAAGTTTGTAATAAAAATAAATATGAAAAACTTCTAAAAATTGACTTATATATAATCTAATAATCTAATTTTAACATATGGAGAATGTTATTTCAATTTTTTTTCTAATTTTCTTCTCCTATAAGTTTTTATAAAGAAGTTTTTCCAAATAGAACCAAGATTTATCACGTGGTAGTAAATTGACAACTTACTACCTTTCCTTGTCGTAGTACTTTGGGAGGCAGTTTTGTCATGTCGACCACTGTGGACGGTTCAGCCACTCTTACACCACCATCAACAACAAAATCAAGACCCTAGAACAACCAATATAAAATTGTTACGAGGAAATATAACCCCCCAAAAAAAAGTATCAAGGTTTGGGGGATTGCTCCGGTGCCCTCTTATTTGAAGGGGTTTTGGTGCCCCTCAGTACAAAAGTTGGGTTTTTAGGGGCAATAAGGTAAATTGATAGCCTTCAGACAATTTATCAATTTACCTTATTGCCCCTAAAAACCCAACTTTTGTACTGAGGGGCACCAAAACCCCTTCAAATAAGAAGGCACCGGAGCAATAGCCCAAGGTTTGCTCTAGGAAAAGAAAATAAAAGAAAAAAATGAAATAGGTTTCCTCAAAAATTAAAATTAACTTATACCCAATTAATTTGTAGAAGTTATATCATATTACTTGATAGAGCCATGAATACCAAAAGTCTTATCTAAATAGACTGCGGAGTGCAGAGCATGTGTTCAGTCACATTCTTCATGGGAAAATGCAAAAATTAAAATTAACTTATACCCAAATTAATTTGTAGAAGTTATATTATATTACTTGATAGAGCCATGAATATCAAAACTCTTATCTAAATAGACTGCGGAGTGCAGAACATGTGTTCAGTCACATTCTTCATGGGAAAATGGAAAATAGGTTTCCCTTGAGAAAGATGACTACGTAAATATAATGTGCTATGTACATGATATGGTCTATTTATAACAAGTATAAATGCCAAATTGCCAATAATATTCCCTTTTTCTTTAGAGCAAGGGTCAAAATTATTATTTCCATAGTTATTTAAAATGACTAAATTCATCAACCCTTAATAGAAGAGTGATACCTCTGGTCCATATGTATCAGCTATCATAACTGGATCGATCATCCATTCATCTTCCTTCTGGAACTTGATGCTAAAAGAAAGATGAAAAGTGTCAAAGTAATATTAAGGTACAAACATCAACTATTATTCAACAAATTCTTATCCAGCAAAATAAACAAATAAAAAAAAATCCACTTACTAGGTGTGTATTTGGGTGAGCATTTACAAACTCAATTTTTATGATATTTGATTTTGCATGATTGATTTTGGTTAAAATTGAGTTTGAAGTAAAATGATTTGTGTTTTGAAACTTTAATCTCAAAAGCAAGTTCATACTTCATAGTAAAAGTTAGTATGAAATTCTCAGCCCAACACAAGTTAAATAAGTGTTGCTTTTACTAGAATCAAATTCAGCCTCAAAATCACATAAAAGCAGCTTTTTCCCAAACAAGATTTTTTACATAAAAATCCAGTTGAAACATCAAATGTGGGTTTGGGTTCATTGAATGCCAAACCAAACACACTAGCACAGACATCAAAAGTGGCTAGTATGGCTGCCTAGGAGCTGGGATGGGGTCAAAAACAGACCTCCAGCGCTCCAGCCTCAGATGGCCTGAGGTTAAAAGGGTTAGATGAAGTGGTCCTGATGTGGCCACATCAGGGTGAGGTGGCTGATGCTGTGATACTGCCATAATATTCACTCAGTTACCCTTCATTAAAATGCTTCGTAGTCAATAGGTGTTGCTAGATTATATGAAAATATTCATTATTATCTTGATCATATCATAGAATAATTGAGATCATCTTTTAGGATTAGTTTCCCTATTTCACCATTATGTCTTAGGATTGGTTACCATATTTCCTTATCTAATGATTTATTTCGTTTTTAGTTAGGATTATGATTGGCATAAATAAAATATAGTGCCTTAGACTTTGGGAACATATAACCAGATTGTGATACGTCCCAATACACAGTAGAAAATATTCAAAGTCTTAAGTCTCTACTCTTTTTGTTTAGTGTTTCCTCTCTTACTACCTAAAATCCCACAATTTCAACATCTCATGACTTGTCCCATTACTACTACACTGCTCAGCTTCCTAAAATATGGAGTTCTACTTTATTTTATGATTCTACATTCATATTAGTTATCTTTCCTGTAAGAAAAACATTTTCCATTGTCCATCTTATTTTCGACCTCTAACCATTGTTGTGATATCTCATGCAAGTCCTAACACATACACATGTCTCCAATTTCTGATCTCCTCTGCCAAGCATTTTTCCAATGTGTTTTAAAAAGTCTTCCAACTGTCCTTTTCTCCCTCTGGCAGTTAGAAGTGTAATCAGCGACACCTCCTTTGGGCACTCCCTTCCAATTACAGAAATGCCAACCAATGTTGATTCCTCGCATGAATCCCTAGATCCTCTTTCTACTGCTATCACTTTTCATCATCAAATCAATGAAAAGCTTGCTAAAAATTTTCTCCAATGGCAACAAGTAGAACTAATGATCAAAGCTCATTGTCTGCATCACTATCTTGGGGCACTAATGATTCCTCCAAAATTTCTCACCTCTTCAGATTGTGATCCGAATGTTAATAGGATCAACTTCTTCTATCATGGATCCAATCTTCATTGCATGATACTTTTGCATTCTTGGATGTACTCATGCAATTCAAATTTGGGAGAAAATCCACTCATTTTCATCACCAGACTAGCACGAAGGTGTGATAACTGCGATATGAACTTCACAACTCATCACTTGATAATTGACCAGTAAATGAATTTCTTCTTCGTGTTAAAGCACTCGTTGATGCATTGTCCTCTGTAGGAGATCTGATTTAACACCAAGAGCATGTGGACATTATTCTTGAAGGACTTCCACAGGATTATGATCTTGTTATTTCTCCTATTGAGAGCAAGGTATCTCCAATGGCTATTGAAGAAGTTGAAGGCCTTGTACTTGCTCAAGAACTACAATTAAAGTACAAAAAGAAAACTATGTGCAAGACTCCTTCAATAAATGTTACAAATGCTAATTCTCAACCTAAATCGTCACAACATGAGAACTCCAATCACAACAACCATTTTCATGACCAACCGCCATCTAGTAAACATGGTGGTGGCTATCATGGTCGTTTTGGCAGAGGAAGAGGACATGGAGGTCACTTCAATATTCAATGCCAAGTGTATTTCAGGCATGGTCATACAGCAACAGTGTGCTATCACATGTTCAATCAAAATTATTAACCTACCCCTACTATGTTTCAATATTATCATTTTGACAATGGCTCTCATTGGAACAACAATGCTATTGATGCTCCTCCTGGTTTTCATCCTAAACCATTGGCATCAAATCCTTATCAATACAATCATACTGCCCCATACACTCAGCAGAAACCACCACAAGCATTCGTAACGAACACTAATCAGTCTACCTCACAACAATGGTTTCCAAATTCTGGAGCCTCCTTTCATGTCACGAATAATGCCAACAACATTCAACAGCTAACTCCTTTTGAAGGTCCTAATCATATCTTTATAGGGAATGGTGAAGGTCTACCTATTGATTTTGTTGGATCTAGTAATATTACAAGAACCTTAAATTCGCATTTTTCTCTTGCACTGCATCAAATGCTTCATGTTCCACAAATTACAAAAATCTTGATAAGTATTAGTAAATTTGCAAGAGATAACGATTGAATTTCAAGTTGATTGTTGCTTTGAATTTCACGTTGTTTCTAACATTTCCTACTATTGTTCTCTTGTTGGTGCACTATATTCTACATTACTAGACTTGAGATAAGTTATGTAGTCAACAAGGTTTGCCAGTTTATGGCTTCTCCCTTAGAAGAACACAAGACTATTGTCAAGCGTATTTTTAGCTATTTTAAAGGCTCTTTACACACTAATCTCCGTCTTTTGCCAGCTTCTCCCAATTACTCGCTCTGCTTACGAGACTACTTTGATGCTAACTGGACTACTGATATTGATGATCGATGTTCTACTTTCGGGGTTGCTATTTTTCTCAGTCTTAACTTGATTACTTGGTCTCATAAGCAAACAGTGGTTACAAGACAGATGCTAGATATCACAACTTAGCTATTGTAGCTGGAGATTTGTTATGGGTTCAAATGCTACTGCACGAACTCTCCATACCTTCATGCCAACTAGCTTTTGTGACAATCAAAGTTTTGTTCGTCTTGCTCACAATCTCGTTCTTCATGCTCACACCAAGCATATGAAATTATACCTCTTTTCTGTGCGAGACCAAAGTTATTCAGAAGCAGATTAATATCTTAGGAATTGATCAAATTGCTTTTATCATCAACTCGTTTTTCAGACTTATCATCCAAGCTTAATGCGTTCAAGCTTCTAGCTCAACTACCTTGATCTTGCGAAGGGGAAGTGAGAATATAATTTCCCCATGTAAATTTTTCTGTTATGTGTCAATTAGATGTAATGATGCAAAGTTGGTTAGATATTAGTTTGAACAATTAGTCCTTCAGTTAGTGGTTGTTACACTAATTGAATTTAACACCTATATATATATATATATATATATATATGGAGAGACCAAATTACTTCGGTGTAATTTTTACCAATTATTACACTATTCAATAATTTTATATTAAATATGAATTTTGTCGATCTAACTATTGAATTATAACTTCATATCACTTTATATGTTTATGTCAAATTTTGTTAAAATTGAACAATTTAAAAGTAATCAAATTGTTTATATTTTAGTATATTTTGAAATTTATATATTACATCAATTTTAATGTATATGAATGAGATATCAAATCATCTTGAATTAATATAAAATTTTATATATATGATCTAGTAATATAGAACTTTCAATCTAATGGTAATTTAAAAAAAAAATCACATTTAATATAAAGTTATTAATTAGTGGTTCTTTATGAATTTGTTTTGTTGCTATGTTTCTTATTGTACACCTCCCAAATCTTGGGCCTATTTTCCACATTTGCCATCAATTGGCCCGAGTATTTCTCTCCATTACTATTAGTTTTGTTAGAATAACTTATTAGGGAAGCTTCTGTATTTATTATTATTTTCTTTTGTATGTCTGATGTGAAGTCTTAGGCTCTTAACCTTTTCCAGCCTATGTTGTATGTTTGTATACTCAATCAGATATATCTAGAATGGAGCAATGCAGTGTAGATAGACACACCATTTTTTCAAAACCATCTTAACATTCAAGTTGGTATCAGAATGGGTCCGATCCCGCTTTGTCGTCCACCATCGTCTGTGTCGTCTGCTAACGACCAAATTCTTTGGCAACCATAGGGTTTGGTGCGCCTCGTTGAGCGTGACCCAACCCTCTTGGTTTCAAGAGCATTGGAGTCTCCACGTGCTCTCATGCGCCACTCCAAGTTCCTGTTCAGTCAAGCGCGTGTATCTCACGTGCCGCCTTCTGGTCGTCGGAAGTCCGTTGTGCCACCGCCGTTGTGCTCGTCCACGCCTTCTGGGTCTGTTTTAGACCTTAGTGTACTGTTCCAGGTGGCTATTTGGACCACGACCACTATTCATCTTCTTCTCCTTGTCTCTATCTCCATTTTTTTTTCTCCCATGGCTTCTTTAGGGGACACCTACTATTACTACAGAAAAGTTAAATGGAAAGAACTATCTGTCATAGGCTGCATCTGTGGAACTTTGGTTCCTTGGTCAAGGGCACCATGACCACCTAGAAAAGGAAGACATTGAGGGGTCAACAGAGAATAAAGCTCAGTGGAAGAAAATTGATTTTTAGTTATGTGCTGTGTTGTGGCAATCTGTAGAACCCAATATACTGGAACACTTAGAGCCTTGAAAACTTGTTGCTCTTTTTGGAAGAAGGCTTAAAATATCTATGCTAATGACATTTAAAGGCTATATGATGCTACAAAAATTAGCCTCTCTAAGACAAACTAGTCATGATATGGTTTCTCATGTGGCTGAAGCTCAAGCTGCTGTGGAAGAACTAAGATTGTTCCTTGATGATGATTCATTGGAAAGAATGGAGAAAAAACTTGATAGGCTATATATGGTGATGATTTTACGAACCTTGCATTCAGATTTTAATCATGTTCGTGATTAATTGTTGTCTGGTCATGAAATTCCCTCAATGGACAACCTAGTTACTAGACTGCTCTGAGTTCCAACTGAAGCCAAGAGCAAAAATTTTACCACCATTGTTGAAGCTTCTGCTATGGTCTCTTCCAAGGGAAGAGGTGGTCGTGGAAACCGAGGAAGAGGGGTTAGAAGTGGTCGTCCTCAATGTTCCTACTGCAAAAGGATGGGTCCTACTCGAGAATTATTACTCTCTCCATGGTTTTCCAGAAAAGACAGCAAAATTTGTCCAAGTCTGATCAAGCAAAAAAGTCTGATAGGAAGATCCCTGAAAATGATTATCAAGAATATCTTCAATGGAAAGTTATGAGTCAAGCTCAATCTTCCTCTACCCCTACTATTTCTACTACTTGTATTTCTCAATTAACTACAAGTCAAAGTCCATGGATCATTGATTCAGGTGCCCTGATCACATAGGTGGTAATGAGTCTATGTTTTCTTCCATGTCTTCTTTTAAATCAACCCATCTTATTACCTTAGCAGATGGATCCAAAATTGCTCCCAAAGGGATTGGTCAAGTTTCCCTTTCTCTTATGTTAAATTTAAAATCTGTTTTGTTTGTCCCTAATTGTCCTTTCAATTTGATCTCTTTAAGTCAATTAACTAAATCCTTAAACTGTTCAGTAACTTTTAATGTTGAATCTTATGTCATTCAAGAACGTGGTACGAGCAGGATGATTGGCGTAGGACATGAATTTGGTGGTCTTTACTATTTTGGAATGCAACCACCTGCATCTTGTGTTGCTGTTTTGCCACCCAAGCTTTTGCATGATCATTTGGGTCATCCAAGTTTGTCCAAGTTGAAACTTAGTTCCTAGTCTCAAAACATTGGAAGAGTTAGGTTGAGTCATGTCAACTAGGCAAACATGTTAGATCATCCTTTCCCAAAAAAACTGAAAAAAGATGTAACTTGGTTTTTACCACCATTCACTCAGACATTTGGGGCCCAAGCCATGTAACATCTATTGGTTTCAGATATTTTGTAACCTTTATTAATGAATTTTCTCGATGTACTTGGGTGTACTTAATGAAAGATCGTTCTGAACTTTTGTCTATTTTTGTTTCTTTCTTTAATGAAATTAAGAATCAATTTGAAAAAACAATCAAAATTTTTAGAAGTGACAATGCCAAAGAATATTTCTCCTTTGAATTATCTTCTTTTTTATCCTCACAAGGTGTTTTACATCGGTCTACATGTCCACACACACCCCAACAAAATGGAATAGCAAAAAGGAAAAATAGACACCTTGTAAAGACAGCACGCACCCTAATACGCAATGCAAATGTTCCTGTACATCATTGGGGTGATGCAATTCTTACGGCCAGTTTTCTAATAAACAGAATGCCATCTTCTTCTCTTGAGAATAAAATTCCTTACTTGATTATCTTTCCAAAGGAACCTTTGTTTCATGTCTTACCTAGAGTCTTTGGGTGCACATGTTTTGTCCATGATGTCTCCCCTGGTTTGGATAAGTTATCGGCTAAAGTTATTAAATGTGTTTTTCTAGGCTATTCTCATCTCCATAAAGGGTACAAGTGTTACTCTCCAAAGACCAAAAAATTTTACATGTCTGCTTATGTCACCTTCTTTGAACAAACTCCCCTTTTTCTATCCTCTACAAATGATTCTGTGACAATCCAACAGGTTCTACCTGTTTCTTCCCATCTGTCCATACCACTTCAACCTTTAGCCCCTAATCAAGAGGTCACTCAACCCACCTTGTCCACAAATAGACCAATTCCAGATACTTATGCGGATTAAACAAATTTTTCAAGAGTTAAAATTTTGTGAAGGTCATCCAATGAAATTGTATTGTGATAATCAGGCTACACTCCACATTGCCTCCAATCCAGTATTTCATGAGAGAATTGAACATATAGAAGTTGACCGTCATTTTGTTAGAGAGAAACTGTTGTCTAAGGAAATTGTTACTAAATTTCTCACATCCAATGAACAACTTGTAGATGTTATGACTAAGTCATTGAGGGGGCCTCACATTCAATTTTTATGTTCCAAGCTTGGTACATACAATCTGTATGCTCCAGCTTGAAGGGCAGTGTTAGAATAGCTTATTAGGGAAGCTTCTGTATTTATTATTATTTTCTTTTGTATGTCTAATGTGAAGTCTTAGGCTCTTAGCCTTTTCTAGCCTATGTTGTATGTTTGTATACTCAATCAGATATATCTAGAATGGAGCAATGCAATGTGGATAGACACACCATTTTTTCAAAACCATCTTAACATTCAAGTAGTTTCTCTTTTTGGCCACCCTTTTCCCTACCTTTTTAGTGTTTTCATCATTGTTTGTAGTGGCCCTTTAGCTTTTCTGACAACTTTTTTGACTGCCACCCTCTGAATCTGCATCCCATTCCAAAACCAAACAAAACCTACTAGTTCCAACCCATGTGCATAGCTCTTAGCATCCACACACATGGGTCTTTTCTAGCACATGTCAAAACTCAACCCTCAATTTTTGCCACTATGGAAGCAAATTCTAGTTAATCTCACCAATGCCAAACTCATGTCAACCTCCTCATTCTAGATATGTCCTTGGCTCATTTGTCTCTAGATTTGTGGCTCCTTTTTCAGGTTTTTCACTACTGTATGGCATCAAGTTGATACTAGAGTCATCATCCTAGCCATGCAGTTTTCTAGAGATATTAGCTTGGCCCCCCACAACTTTCCTAGAGATTAGAGATATCATATTGACCCCACAACTTTACTAGGGAATCATCTTGGCCTACTGGCTTTCCCAGGAAACCAACTTCTCCTTGTGGCTTTCCCAGGGAGTCATCTTGGTCTCGTGGCTTTCGCAAGGAATCAACCTCACTTCGTGGCTTTCCTAGAGAATTGTCATGGTCTTGCGACATTCCCAAAGAATCATCTTGCCCCTACAGCTTTCCCAAGGAACCAACCTAACCTTTGGGGCTTTCCCAAGGAATCATCTTTGCTCTAAGGCTTTCCAAGAGAATTCACAGGTTTCCTCTACAGCTTTCCCAATGAATCATCCATGTCACATCATTCTACAATTGCAAATTATATTGCCTATTATTATTATTTTTTTCTAAAAGGGGTGTATGTACAACAAGCTTGAAGTTTAGTAAGCTTTAACTCGAGAGGGAGAGTATTACAATACGAGAAAATATTCATTATTCTTGATCATATCCTAGATTATCTTAGATTATTCTTTAGGATTAGTTTCTCTATTTTATCATTATCTCTAAAGATTGGTGACCATATTTCCTTCTCATGATTTATTTCCAATTTAGATAGGATTATCATTTGTATAAATAAGGCTTTCTACTTTAGGTTTCATGAACATATTATCACACAAATACATAAATGGGACTTACCTGCCATCGGTGACTTAAAATCTAGAAGCTGAAACTCCCTTTATCCTCTTATTTATCTATGCTTTTATTCACTCAGACTCATCTAATCTGGACTGACGCAAAAGATTCTCTCCATTATCTCCCTTTTTTTCTTGGATACTTGCCATTATGTCTCATTTTCATTATGTTTAATGTGCACTTCTATTATTATGTTTCTAGCATTTTCAATTTTGATTACTTTGTTTTAATGTTGTTTATTTGAATTTAAATGTTATTTGGTCATGATTTGTTGTGATCTTTATAATTTATTATTAAGTATCCATATCACTTCAATGATGTGGCTTGTTACCATATCAATTATCAAGTGATGTGGTTTTTGGGGTGGCTGCCTCAATCCACATTTTACCTCTTGACAACTCTGGTTACTAGAAAACAAT